GCCACTAATGGCAGGCAGGTTAAAGGAAAGAAGCCTCTTTAGGCAGCAGGAGGCTTGGGAAGGGCTCTTGGAGTAAAGAAAGAAACCTAGTTGGGAACAGAGAGATGTGAGAGTCACCATAACATATTTTATCTCCCATCCACCTACACGGTACAAATGTCCAATATTATATGCTTATCCACACACACAGAACCAGGGCGGGGAATTACCAGTTATAGCCAAGCCCTACCACGTGGGACGATTTGTTCCACTCACTCATTTATGGTTCTTATCCTCATATCTGCAGGTCCCTGAGGGGTCCTGAATAGCATTTAGAAGGTCTGTAATCTTGCATGGGAAAAAGAATTACATCTGTATTTTTGCTAAACTCTAGTAAGTAGAATTTAGCATTTCTTTGAATTATGAATATAACTGAAAACAAATAGGCTTTTGTTTTCAACATATAGGCTACAAATCCCAATAATATTATAAGGGCCTGTGACACTGTCAACCAATAAAAACCATAGGCATGTGCATACATTAAGTTGTTACAAATTATCTTAAAATAACATTTATGCTCAAACTACATTTTCTGATTTATGCTCAAACTACTTTAAATAAATGGTATTCCCTAGATCTTATCTGTTGCATTGATAAAGCATCATACACGTTACTATATGTACATTTGTTTTTAAAATATTTTTGTAAATGTATTTCAATATTTAATTAATTTCTTTCAAAATTCTAAATATTTTATCTCAGGCGGGCAAACCATTATTCTGAGAAGGGGTTTAGTGGCTTCAACAGAACTGCCAAAGGGGCCCATGGTACAAAAATGTTTAAAAACATTCAAATCCCTTATGTTTTATCTTTAGGTAATTCTTACCTAAAGCCCACAGTTTTCAATGTCAATAATTTCTAGTCTTGTATCTTTGAATACTACTCCCATCTCACTGAATATTGAGATGCAATGTGATTCTTCAGTTTCTCCACATGGACCCCGTTCTCTGCATCTTTCTTATTTGGGTTGGTGGGGAGGTAATTGGATTATTTATTTATTTATTTATTTATTTATTTATTTTAACATTTTTTATTGATTTATAATCATTTTACAATGTTGTGTCAAATTCCAGTGTTCAGCACAATTTTTCAGTCATACATGGACATATACACACTCATTGTCACATCTTTTTCTCTGTGTGGATTATTTATTTTTAATGGACGTACTGGGGGTTGAACTCAGGACTTCATGTATGCTAAGCATGCCCTCTACCACTTTGCTATACCCTCTCTCCACTCAGTAAGTTTCTATTTTTAAAGAGATTACTGTCAAAGTGTGGGGAAGTGAGAAACTCTCATATACTCCTGGTGGGATATAAACTCTGGAGGACATTTTGCTTTACATCAAAAGTATATATGTTTGTGTGTGTGTGCGTGTGTGTGTGTATTACTTTTTTTAATGGAGGTACTGGAGATTGAACATACACATGCATGCTAAGCAGGCACTCTACTACTGAGCTATACCCACCCCTCCTACAACAAAAAGTGCCTAGCAGGGAGGGTATAGCTCAAGCGGTAGAGTGCCTGCTTAGCATGCACAAGGTCCTCAGTTCAATCCCCAGTACCTCCTCCAAGTATAAATAAACCCAATCACCCCCTTCCCTCAGTAAAGCAAAAAGTGCCTACTATTTGATTAAATTACCCTCTAAGAATTTATCCTAGGGAAACAAGAGAAAAAAATGCACACACACAGACACACACAAAACGGATATAAATCTGCACTATTTATAATATCTATTCCCATCAACAGGGCATCAGTTACATAAATTATAGCATGTCTGTGTAATGGAATATCATGTAAACATAAAAATGGCGGTAAGTTGACTATTTGTTCTGGCTTGTACAACATGTTTATAATATTGGAGGAATATATGGTATGATCCCATCTATTTAAAAAACAAGTTTATATTATATATATGCAAAGAAGAAAATTCTGGAAGAATTATTATTAATGGTGGTTTTCTCTAGGGGGAGGGTTAGGGAGGAGCGATGATGAGATTGTGAGATCTTTTTCCTGTACCATTTGATAGAATTTTGATTGTCACAAAAATCATGTTTCCCCCCATGGGGGAGGGAAGGGAGTAACCTCAGCTACTTCCTGCTCTCTCCTTGGAAACCCCTTCACAGCTAGCTCCCCTGACCGCATAACCTTCCTCCAGGAATTGTCCCTGAGTCCCCAGCCCCAAGGCTTTGAACCTCTGACATGATACTTAGCACAGTCTATGGAAGTCACCTGTTTGCCCTCTCTCTTTTATAAACTCTTAAAGAGCAGACTTTAATCTCTGCTCTCTTGGTGTTACACCGTTCCCAGCACTTAGGAGGTATCCGGATCAATGCTTCTGGGACAAATTAGTGCTCAAACCTTATTTCCAGTTGTAAAACTGACCAACCAGGGCTCTCAATTCCACATCTGAACCACCTGGGAGGCTACATAGACATGCAGATTACAACACCCATCTCGGACTCTGAATAAGAATCCGGTGGGAGAGGGAGGCTGGGGACTCCACCTCTAACAGCTGACCGAGGTGAGTTCTGGTGGGTGGTCGGTTTGTCAAATTACTGAATGACGCTCCCTCAGGTCCTCGTCTGAAGGGTAAGACAATGGTGTGTATTATGGCTCTATATTTACAAAGCCAGTATCAGCCTTTTCCACCCAATAAAAGAAATGGGGAGGTGTGGGGAGGGGAAGCGAGACTTGTGCAAACTGAGCTCTAAATTCCAGTCCCCTGCTTGCCCTACCGAAGACACCACGATGTGAAAATTGTGGGCTGAAGAGTGGGAGACCAAGCCCTACCTGCATCCTCACCCCTCCCACCTAAACGGTCGCACAAAGCTGTCGATTCAGAAAAAACGCATCCTGAATCCTGGCTTTGTTCAGGCACCAGCGGTATGATCTTGAATAGGTTACAGGTTATCCACAGTCTGAGCCTCAATTTCCTTATTGTCAAAAACTTAATAAGAATATCTGCCTTCCTCTCAGGGCTGAGGGTGGGATTAAATAAATTAAAATATGTAAATAAGATAAAATACGCACAGGGCCTTCCACGAACCTCTCAGTAATTGTTACGTCCCCCTCCCCCCTTCCTTCGCACCGCCCCCCCCCGCCAGACCCTCGTCCGGGAAACACTCGGACATGCTTACCTCGATCCGGGAGAAGCCGGAGTACGTTCCCACGGACACCCAGCTCCTGCACGGAGCATAAGTCTTGAGAGACACCAGTGGTTGCTGCTGCCTCTTGATCCTGGAAAATTCGCTTCAAGATAGAAGGCACAGGCTGGAACTTCTTGGGTGAAGGCACCTTGTCTAAGCCTAAAAACTGGAGAAAGACATGTTCTTGGAACTGTAAGGTCTGGCCCAAGGCCAGAGCTAACAGGAGGCCGAGCGCCAGGCCTGGCAGGGCAGGAAGCATGGCCCCCGAGCTGAGGCAAAGCTGGCTGGTCGGGCCGGAGGGAGCTCTAGCGTCTGACTGCCCAGCAATTCAGGTGCTGCTAATTTATCTGACGTCAGATAATCAGGTGTGAATTGCTCTCTTCCCAGCTCCTCAAAGGCAATTGGATATGAAAGGACAGAATTTTTTTTCTCTTCCCTAGCTCTACTCTTCCAGGGGGAAAAAAAAAAAAGATTGCCAATGCACAGACCTAACTGCAACAATCGGAGATTGTCAGCAGGAGACAGAGCAGAAAGGATATGTTTGTTAAGCACCTATTATGCGCAGGGCGCTGAGATGGGTACCAGGAACAGATGATTAGTGATGGTAAGTCTTGTCATTCAGTCTAATTAGACAAACCCACAGGTAGATTTCCACTAGACAATATCCACAGCCAGGTGGGAAACCAAACCAAGGAGAGGGAAGTCCTCCCAGGGAGGTCGGTCTACCCTCCCCATCTGTTTTTAGCTATTAAGAGGGACTGAGTTCTCTTCGTCTGACTTTGCCCTTCTCGAGTAAAAGTCAGAAGTCTGACTGGATTATTTCTGGTTTCATTACTCATTAGCTCTATGATATTGGCCATGTCACTTAATCTTCCTAAATTTTTGTTTTTTTCAATCGAAAAGAAAAACTGACCTTCTAATTTGCCATAGGAATGTGATGAGATGATGTGTTTAAAGCACTCGGCACAGCAGCCTGGCCAATGGACCACACGGTGTTCACAGAGGAGAAAAACTTCAACGCTTAGTAGGCATTTTTCAGTAAGGCATTCGGGGCTTGAAGGAACTACCCCTGAAACGGCACGCAGGTTACTGAGCAGTTGAGTATGGTAGCATCTATCAATTTCTGCTTTGGTTTTTATTTTGTTTTGGCCAAACTCCTATAAAATTTTTCAAACGCTGTACGCTGTAGGAGAATTAGTTTGTCTGTGCCAAAATAATTTTCAAGCTTTTTGAGAACAGGGACTTTATCATTTTGCAAACATTTTATTTTATACCACCTATTATAAGAACTTATTTCCCCCAAAGGAAAAACAACATGTTGTATCTAATATGTAACAGTTTCCCACCAACTACAGCATAAGATCTAAACTCCTTAGCCTGACACTTGAGGACTTTCTAGGTTTGGCCCCCACATCCCTAGCCAGTCTCATTTCCTAACACCCACCATCATTGGTGTTAATGCTCTAATTTTTTTTTCATTGTTGTTTCCCTCACTTTTTAAAATTGAAGTATAGTCAGTTTACAATGTTGTGTCAATTTCTAGTGTTAACGCTCTATCGATACTGATGTATTTTTAGTTCCCCTAGGAGCTCCACTCATTTCAGCCTTTGCACAGCCCAAGTTCAAAGGCCACTTCTACTGCAAAGGCTTCCCTGACTCAACAAAACAGATTTAGATACCTCTTCTTTCTCCCACTGAGCTCTGACTGGGCATCTGAGACAGCGCCAATCACAGTGCATCACACTGTGTTTCTCCTGTGTCCCTCCCAGATAGTACACTCCTTAGGGGTTGGAATCATGTCTTTTCATTTAAGTATCTTAAGTAACTTCTATTTAAGTATCTTTCATTTTAAATCTTAAGAACGGGGAGCAGGGAGTTATTGTTTCAAGGGTACAGAGTGTGTGTTCTGCAAGATGAAAACCATTCTGGAGATGGATCTCAGTGATGGGAGCTCAGTGTATAAATGTACTTAATGAACGTGCTTTATGCCACTCAACTGTCGCTTATGAATGATTAAATCAATCAGTTTTGTGTTGTGTGCATTTTACCACAATTTTAAAAAGTGAATTTAGAAAACACCACTGTCCTTTGATCAGCACTCCACTTCTAGAATATTATTCTATGCCACTAGGATATAAGCTACAAAAGAGCAAGGAAAAATGAGGTGCCTTTTCCACCAAGTATCTCCACTGTGGAGGAAAGTGTCTACCAGGTAGGAAACATTCAATACCTATCTGTGCAACAAATAAATGGAGGAATGAATTGGTGCTACTTCCGAAGGTTTCCCGCTTCTAGAGCCATGTTTTCTCCATTCCCACTTCTCCCATCTCCTCCTATTTGCATCCTACTTAACGCTTTTAATCTACAATCCCCACCTGTTTTAGTGATAAGTGTGGGTTGCATTTTGATTTCCTTTGTTTAACTTCTCTTATTTAAAGTCAGAAATCAGACTAACCGGTTTAAATTCTGGTTCCATCACTGATTAGCTGAGTGATCACAGGCAAATCACTCAACTGTGAAGTGAGAATAAGACATTCTTTGCTAAGGTGCTGAGGGGATCTGAAGAGCTAATACCTATGCAAAACTCAGGACAATGCCTGCCAAATGGTGAGCACTCAATCCAAGCTAGGTGATAGTCATTATTATTGTCATTATTATTTATTAAAGTGGCATTTGATCAAGGGAAAGAAAGCAATAACTGAGTGTGTGCAGGCACCCCATATAGCAGAAAAAGCAAGCAGGGGTGGGGGGAATCTGAGTTAATAAGTCACCCTGTATTTCTTGGAGGATTCATTCAACCTTTTTGATACATACCCAGGCGTTTTACCTATAAAATCTCAACACTAAATCCAACGTTTTTTGGGGGTTTTTGGTGGTAGGGGAGGCAATTAAGTTAATTTACTTTTAGAGGGGTTGGGGATTGAACCCAGGACCTCCTGTATGCTATGTGCTCTACCACTTGCGCTATCCCCTCTCCCCTGAGTTTGACCTTCTTTAAGGGTTCTACAAACAAAAACACTCTCATTCTGGATTTTCAGCCCAAATTAGAAAACCAACAGTAAGACAATATAGCTAAATAATATAGAACCAGTTCTGAAGTCATGGACCTAGATAAAAATCCTAGCTGATGGGCTATGGGGTCCTGGACAAATTGTTTCTCTGGCCTTTGGTTTTGTAATCAATAAAATGAGGACTATATCAGTCCAGCAGAATTATTGTCATCATAAGCATAAAAAATATTCAGACTTCATAGTAAAAAAAAAAAGGCAAATTAAAGCAATGAAATGTCTTTGTCTAATCAATTAGCAAGATGAAGACAAGACAATAGCTTGTGTAGATGAGGGAGCAAGGAAATAAATGCTGAGGGGAGGCTATGGAGGGTATAGCTCAAGTGGTAGGGCACATACTTAGTCTTCACAAGGTCTGGGGTTCAAGCCCCAATATCTCCTTGAAAACTAAATAAGTAACCCTAATTACCACCAAAGTAAAAAAAAAAAATTTTTTAAGAAACAAATATTATTACAGTTAGCTCTGGAATATACATTAATATAGCTTACCTAGAATAAAAGTTTGCAATATATAATAAAAATTTTTTTTAATGGAGGTGCTGGGGATTGAACCCAGGAGACCTCATGCATACTAAGCAAGCACTCTACCACTGAGCAATACCCACCCCCTCTTACATGAGGGAACTAGAGTAGTCAAATTCATAGTGACAAGAGCAGAATAGGGGTTGGCAGGGGCTGGGGGAGGAGAGGATAGGGAATGAGGAGTTATTGTTTAATGGATACAGAGCTTTTGTTTTGCAATATAAAAGCAGTTCTGGAAATTGATGGTAGTTATGGTAGCACAATGTGAAGGTACTTAATGCCACTGAACTGTACATTTAAGAATGATTTAATGATTATTTTTCTATTATATGCATTTTACCACTATTTTAAAAATAAATTAAAAAAATACTCGTCCCCTTTGATCAGCAATGCCACTTTTAGAGTATTATTCTAAACCACTAGACTGTAAGCTACAAAAGAGCAGGGACAAATGATAGCTACTTGATAAATATTTGTTGAGTGAGTTAAGTAATGGGAATGGATGAAGAATTACAAATGTATTATTTTAGTATTATTCATTTATTTATTTATGTGTTTATTTTAATTGAAGTACAGTCAGTTACAATGTGTCAATTTCTGATGTACAGCATAATGTCCCAGGCATGCATATATATATACATATATTCATTTTCATATTCTTTTTCACTAAAGGTTATTATAAGATACTGAATAGTATTATTTATTATAGAGAAGACTTAGAACCAATCTGACTGTACAGTAGTTAATGCATTATGGCACA